TTGACAGCATTCTTTTGCTTAATATGAAAATCTGTTTTCATTTTTCATTCATTCTTGCTCATTGTAAAAAAGTTCAAACTTCCTTTTAAAAACAAATAAAAATGGACCTTTTTATTTGGATGATTACGTAAACTGCTCTTTTTTACCTCACTGCTTACCTCGGATAGCTTTCCATGCTGTGCCTATACTAGTACGTCCATCTCATCTTCTCAAACAGCTGCTGAATCTTCCACTAGATGCACAGACCAGAATTAATGTAACAACTCCCTCTAACTGGGCACTTGGATGGCTTCAAAAGTTTTAATATTCTAAAAATACTGCAATAAGTATCTGTTAACATAACATCTGTGGCTATTATTTGATAAGGGTAAGTTCCTAGATTTCAAATTCCTGGGTCAATACTTAAATTATTATATGCATGACAGTTTGCACTCCAGAAAGCCTGAATCAATCTACAGTTCCACCAACAATGTATCAAAATACTCATTTCACCCACTCTTGCCAATCTTTGGAATCTCTCTCAATCCAATAGGCAGAAGATTCTAATTTGTTTAAAAATTTTAAAAATATCTCCCAAGGGACGACTAGACTTATCAACTAGTTCCCCTGAACTCATTTTTGCTAGCTTACATTTGACCAGAGAAGGGAATACTAGGGTATTTCAAAGTCAAAGTTCTAAGACATATATACGAAATACAATCTATACCAATTCATTCACCAACAAGGTATACAAAATAAGAATTCTCAGTAAATTCCAAATAACATTTGCATGGAAATCACAAGAATGAAACAGCAGCTTAAGTTGCTGCCTGAGAGACGAATTCCTTTGAAATATGGGCAATACCCTTGAGGTATTTCAATAAATGGGATCTAAGGCCTCAATACTTAGAAGAGAGGAAAGCTGGTTAATGACATATATATGAAGTGAGTCAGAAGGCAGGATGGTCTTAAAAACTGGATGTGCCCGGGCACATACTATATTAGAAAGAAAACCAAGTAAGGTGTCTGAAGAGACTAGGCAGGAGTATGATGAAACTAAACCAGGAATATTTCCCTTTAAAAACTACTCTTTCTGATGTAATTTACTTGGCAGGTCTTCAATACTCCTTCTTGACAGGCATTAATGACGTCATGATGGATGAAGTGGCGTAACGGGGAGGCTACTAGTAAAAAAAATGCACCTCTCCCTTTAAAAATTATTCATAGGTAATTAGGGACAACCTTTATTATTTTTTTGAAAGATAATCTCTAGAGCAATGCTTCTCAAAGTGTGGTTTCCAATCAGCAGCATAAGCATCATCTGGGGACTTGTTAGGAATGCAAATTCCCAGGCCCCGCTCCAGGCCAAAACTCTGGGGTTGGGGCTAGTAATCTGTGTCTTAACAAGTCTTCCCAGTGATTCTTCTGCATTGCCCTTGGTGTTTAAGTAATTAAGTTATTTACTTATTTTACTGTCAACGTTTTCAAGGCGTTCTTTCCTGTTTCAAATTAGTTAACTTTCTGAAGTTTGGAAAATACAAAAAGGATAAAAAATGACGGAAGACATGGATTGTTTAAAGACATCTTCCTAAACAGAATATAGTGCTTTACACAGAATTCTGTATCTGGCATTGTGACGTGCATGTTTTAGCAGGGGACGGGGGCCTGTTTTATGTGAAATAAAATCGCTTTTTCCAGGATGAGAATTCCTACAGTCCTTCACAGATGGTCTACATATTTCCATAAAATTGTATCTACTCTCAGTTTGTTTGTCATTTGACTCATCTGCATAGGCTTATTATGACAAAATGTCATCTTAACCAAAGAAAATATTTTTCTAAAACATCTCTGAAAAGAGATCAAAGGTTTTGACACAGGCTTTAAAGAGACTGTATTATGTTATGCACATGTTGAAAAACTATATGATCTTTCCTAGGGGTAGGGTCGGTGGGGTGTGTTTGAGTAATATCTTGTCAATTTGTTTCTCTGCATAGTCAGAAAGTCTTTCTCCAAAACTCTGTGGAGGATATAAGTTTATATGCTCAACTTTTTAAGAAAGTGTCAAAGAGTTATCCAAAGTGGTCGTACCATTTTACATTCCCACCAGCAGTGTAAGCAAACACAAACTTTCCCTCATTCTCACCAACAGTTGGTATGGTGAAAGGGAGCTTGGTATGGTGGCCATTCTACTAGATCTGCAGGTGTCTCTTATGGTGATTTTAATACGAATTTCCCTAATCACTAATGATGTTGAGCATCTTCTCATGTGCTTGTTTTCCATTTGTATATCTTCTGATCCAATTATTCCACTCTTTTTGAATTTCAAAAGAAATAAAATGTTCATACAAAGACATGGATCTTTGTTATAGACTGAATTGTGTCCCCGCCAAGTTTATAGGTTGAACCTCTAACCCCCAATGTGTCTGTATTTGGAGATGGGGCCTATAAGGAAATAATTAAGATTAAATGAAGTGATAAGGGTGGGGTCTTGATTCAAAAGGTTAGTGTCCTCATAAGAAGAAACATCACGAAACTTGTGTTTTCCCCCACACTTCCCAACCAAGAAGCAGACACAGTGGGCTGGCAGCCACTTATAAGCCAGGGAGAGGCTACTATGCTGGCACCTGATCTTGGACTTGCAGCATCCAAAATTGTGAGAAAATAAGTGTCTGTTGTTAAAGCCATCTAGTCTATGGTGTTTTGTTATGGCAACCTGAGCTTACTAGTACAATCCTCAGAGCAGGATTTGTAATATTTATATCATTTGTAATAGTAAAAAATTGGAAATTACACAAATAAATGGATAAACAATTGTTGTAGGTACATATAAATGAATACTATTAAGCAATTCAAATGGATAAACAATTAATATACACAATATGGATAAATCTCAAAATAATTATGCTGAGCAAAACAAACCAGACCCCCCCCCCGCCCCAAATAAAGAGTTGAGACCCTGATTCCATTTGTATAACACTCTAGAAAATACGAAAAATCTAGTGACAAAAAGCAGATTGGAGGTTATCTGGGAAGTGAGGTGTGGCGAGGAGCAGGAGGAAGAAATCATAAAGTTATAGAAGGAAATTTTATGGATGAAGGATATGTTTACTAGCTTGATTTTGGTGATGGTTTAATGAGTATATGCATAGATCAAAATGTATCAAATTTTACTTTAAATATATGCAGTTTATTGTATATCAATGGCTCATTAACACTGTTTTTATTTTAACCAGTGGAATCTTCCCATTATCTCTAGGAAACTCCAATTTTGTGTTAAATGGATTTTTTTCTTTTCTCCATCCCTGATAAAGAAATGGAAAAGAAAATGCCTCACTCAGAAAAGTTTGTCATATGTACAGGGCTTCATGGCTTTGTACTTTTCATTGTGAGGAGCCTGAAATGAAAAGAATTGCTGCATCACCCACAAGCCCCAGCCTTTCCATCACCATTAAAGGTGAAACAAAAATCCCCAGAATCAAAGGACATAAATCAGGTGGCAACAAGACTCAAAACTGGGAAAATAAATTATTACACTTGGCCCTATCTTTTGTTTTTTGCAAACTAAGGGGGCTCTCCTGAATATTATGATAATGAATGAAAATCTGCTATGAAAATTTTCAATCCCTTTTGGCAATTTGTGCCTGGAGTATTATATTACAGAAAAGAAAAGCCTCCAGAAGCAAAGATGCTAAACCCAGAATAAATAAGGTGTCCGCTCATGTAACGCAAAATTTAGACAATACAACCCAAAGGTGAACATAGAATTTGATTAGAAACGCAAAACCTGCTTCCGTTTCACAGAAAGCCTGGAAGATAAAATAGTTTTGAGTCATAGCTTTACGTCAAGTTCATACCAAACATGGGAGGTTTGAATCGCACTTTGGGGGTTGTGCTCTCCATGTTTAGATGGAGCTGCTATAGCAGGGAAAAAGGCTTCCCACAGAAGGTTCTTTGTGGCAAATCACTATGGAAGGAAACTCCCTCCCAAGTCACAAATTGTTCATTTCCGGTCTACTGTGCCGCGGATGCCAGCTTTAAATTTTTTATTATTTTATTTTTAAGGTACTATTTTTAAGCATTTTTTTTTAGCTTTGGTTACCTAGCTTGGAATTCAAAACTATGTCTGATGCCAAAGCTCTTGTACTCTCTAATACGAAACACAGAGTAGAGAAGTTTTCTGGGAGGCCTACCCTCAGCTCTGCTCCGTGTCCTCCCGCGTGTCTCCAGGAACCACGACGACGCGCATTAATTAACTCGAGGGTGGTTCCCAGCGGGAGAGCACAGATTGCACCTGCTGCGAAGGCCCAGCCTCTCGCGGCTCAGCCCGGGCTGTCTGTGCACGCACCTGAGGACCCACCAGGGGTCACTGCAGCCTCAGAGCTATTGCGCCCGCCGGTTCCGGACACGGCGGTCCGCGAGGAGGGCGTGGGACCAGGAGCGCGGAAAGCCAGGGTCCTACCAGGAATGCGCCCAGCCCTCGCGGAGCCTGCCTCTCCGTCTCCCTGGGAAACGGACGCTGCGAGCGGGGCCGGGGCTCTCGGCGGCCTCGTGGCTCCGGCGCCCGGCGCGGTTCCCCGTGCGGACCTGTCGGCAC